TAACATAATTTATAATTTTAAATTGTCAAGTTAAAAAGATAATTACATAAATTTAGATCTATAGTTAATATTTATGAAATAAAATATAGTAAAATTGTGATAAACATTAAACTTATAGGTTGGGGACATATATGGTGAAATGCCATGGGATACCAAATCAAACTTCATCGAAAAGACAAAATGTATCGTTTTTCTATACATATTGCATCGTATCGTTTATCGTAGTGTATGGTAAGATCTAAATGCAAGTTTCAACAACATCAAATTATTAAAAAGAAGAAAAAAAGTCATAGTTAATAGTTCGAAATTCTAGTGTTGGTTGTTATTACCTTTGTTGATATAAATTGCCTTTCAATTTTGTAATGTTGAACAAATTTGTTGGTTTAATTTTTTTTTTTTTTTCATATTTTAATCAGGAGAATAATAATATTTATTTGAAATAGTTTATTTTGACTTTGCTTTATTTAAAGAAAAAAAACACCAAACACAGTTGTTATAAATTTATTTTACTGATAATCGCAAAAATCACCTCTAATGTGCTGGAAATCACACAAATAATCCTAAACGTGTTGAAATCGCACAAAATCACTCCAAGCATGCTGAAAATTGCACAAAATCATCAAAAATGTGCTGAAATCGCAAAAATCAACAGTTGAGCTAAAAATTGCTCAAATCAACACCAAAACAAATATAGTAAATATTTACCGACTTTTAAAGATAACCGATACATATGCCGGTTTATATCGTTTTTTATATAATCGTATTCTATCGCGATATTGGCTACAACACTCAAAACATGAGTTTCCTGTCAATCATAATAGGATAAGTTCAAAAACCAATAAAAATTATCAAACTTGTATGTTAAAACAACATAGTCCAATATATTGTCAAAATCATTCAAATATTTCAATAAATAATAATACTTGAACACCCCTTTTCTCATATCGTGATATTTTAGCCCCCGAGCATTGGAAAAAGTCTGCACGACAAGCAAAACATTATAATTAATAAGGATGTAATTCCACTTCTTAAAATTTGAAATGTAGAATTTGGCACTTTGCATCCTCGAAAATACTTAATAACACTTTGCACCCTTGAATTGAATTTTTAAAACTTAATGACGACGACAACTTCATTGTTTTTATTGGTTTACTTTTTTCAGGTGCAAAGTAAAAATATAAATTATGAATTAATGATTGGTTCATATTTTTTAATAATTTATGAGTAGTTAATAAATAAGTGGTTACTAATTATTTATTAATTATTTAGTGATTAATAAACTAAGTAATAGTAATAGTAGTTGTTGTGGTAGTAGTAGATTGTTTAGTAATTTATGATAAATTAATAAATAATTGGTTACTAATTATTTATTAATTGTTTAGTGATTAATAATGGTAAATAGGATATGTTGATTTTTTTTTGAAGTTTACTTTCACACAAGATGAATTTATGTTTTTGAACTTATCTAATATCCAATAGGACTGTTCATTCAATAAAAATGATCACATTTAGCTCAATACCAGTTCCATATATGTGAAAAGGTTGTGCAAAACATGAACAATCTAAATTAAAGTTCTACACACAACACAATTGAAGTAGAAAACTTGGTTTCTTTCTTTCTATATGTTGTGAGGGCTTGATTTAAAGGAAAAATAAATTTACAACTTTATATTTTGAAGGAAAAACTTATATTATACGAAATTATGGGTTGTATATTGATACTCACAACCATTGTAATCGTAATATAGCCTCTCACCCTTTGTGATATCACGATTCGCAACTAGAAGCACCACACATTCTTCGTCTACTTTGTACCTCACATATTTAATATCTTGTGTTTTATCCCTTCCTAGTAAAAGATCAAATGATGTCTTTAACAAGACAATACCATACATTGTATTAATTTTCTTCTACTAAATTAAAAAAAGAGCAACCATTTTACAAAAAACAATATCAAGAACATACATCAAATTAAAGTATCGTACACCTAATTGGTATTCATAACTAAAAAATTTAATAAATGAGCAGTGTATCTAGTGATCGGTTTAGGTGCATAACTAGAACAAAACTGTTCTTGAAGATGTTACAATACATCGTTCACTACAAATTAAAATGTGTTTTCATCATTCTTACACACATACCAATGTCTACGTGTGTAAATGGATGGGGTATATATAACAATTATGGACATTCACCAGGTATAGCTTCTACTATTAGGAAAAGAAGATTGGCTTTAGAGACTTACTTTGTGTGATTGTTAATGCCACTTATAAATCTGGAGATGTTTCCAAGCCTTTCTGTACATGCAACAAGACTTTTAGATGAGTGAACTGAAGAAAGTAGAGTCATCATAGAAGGTTATTACTAAAATAGGACCTGCATTCCACCATTTTCGAAAAAAGACTGATTCTCGCTGATCTTGATGCCACGCTAAGGTTGTAAGTGAGTTCGTTGTTGTATTCCAAATTCTGTGAAATCATAGTCATGACAATAATCTGAGCTAGTCTTCTTGCGGGATCTTGTGACGGAACATGTGCCAATAATCTTCTTCGTTTCTTACGGAATTCTAATGTACTTGTACGTCTACGTCATTTCTTGGTATCTGAAATTAGGAGATATATATATATATATATATATATATATATATATATATATATATATATATATATATTAAAGCGTTTTGGTTGTCACCTTCTGTGGTCAATAAAAGTGTAAAGCTCAATAAAATAAAGACATATTCATGCACATATTGTTACATGTCTGCATAATTAGTGGAACGATATATATGCAAAAGGCAACCAAATTACGAAACACCCCCCCCCCCCCCCCCCCTCCCCTATTTGTGTAATTACAGCCACCCCGCTCAACTTTGTATTATCTTACGAAAATACCTCTCCAGAGGTAAATTTAGGGACGTTAGATCGGTAAAATCGAACCGAAATTTCGGTACTCCAACATTCATACCGTTTACCGAACTGAATATACAATTTGGTTCGGTAAATAACCAAATTACTTAAATTTTATGTAAAAAATAATTAAAAGGAGGGCATGGCAGTAATTACCCAAAAAAGTGGGGTTTGTTTTCATAATTTTGGCCATACCTCAGGGGTGGCCCTAATTTACCCTAGATTTTATTATTATTTGGTTATTGCTTTTACTTTGATATTTCCAGTGGCAGTTTCACAAATTAAATTGATGAAAACAATGTACTATTAATTTTTATTTATTTATTTTTTTTGGACAAAAAAATGTATTATTTTTTGATAAGGCACAGGGGGGCCTCGTTAAAAACCTTGTCGGCCTAGAACAAGGAAAAGAGTACCCCATATTTACAATGATTACAAAAAGTACAAAAACCTAGTCTATCGGATAAAACACAATGTCTAACCCTACTAGGAAGATCCGTATAATGGTAATAATCTATTTAGATTTGTGCTCGTGCGCCAACTTGGCTAGACGATCAGCCACCTGATTGCCTTCTCAAAAAGTATGCTCTATACACCAATTATCCTTGATGGTATCACTAATACGAGCAACCACGTAATATAATTCCCATGCAACACTCATTTCACCTGTGATCATGTCGATCACTGCTTTGGAGTCAGACTCCATAACCACATGATCCAGCTCCAAGTCGTGGCAGAGAAGCAGTCCCTCGAGGATGGCGGTTGCATGGGCTAGGAGAAGCTTCCCGTGTCCATAATAGTTGGAGAAACCATAGATAAAACGACCTTCATGATTTCTGATAGCACCCCCTCCCTGTACTCACATCTCCCATCTTCGAACCGTCGACATTAAACAAGAAGGCATTCGAGTTAGGTGGGTGCCATTTGATCCAACAGCCTTTATGCAGCGTTGGGTCATTGATCCGCAGGTTGAGCTGTTGCAGGGCCAACTTGCCGCTAGTATCCGTCGTATTCTTCACCATCATAATTTCATTAAGAGCGTCAAGCTGGGGAGCCATGATATGCAAGATGCCAGTCGTGTTCATGGGGATATCCTCGAACACAGCTCTACATCTCGATTTCCATATCTCCCAACACCCTATCATCAATATACCAAGAGCTATTATACCTTGTTGAGATTTCATACTAAAGTCGGAAGTCCAGGCTTTGACGAGGTGCTTCATAGAACCATAAAAATAGGGCATGTGCCATAAAGAGGCGTAGTACCTCCACACTCCTTGTGCCACGTCAGATTGAATGAAAACGTGCGACAAGCTCTCCTCTTTGGCGTTCGAGTAATATAGACAACGCGACATAGTAATGAACCCCGTTTCTTGAGGTTCAAGTCAACTAGGATTGCTCCATACGACAACTTCCAGAAAAAGGCGCCAATTTTGATGGGGATTTTTAGAGTGCGAGCGGGACGTAATAATGAAACCTCGTTTCTTGAGGTTCAAGTCAACTGGGATTGCTCCATACGACAATTTCCAGAAAAAGGCGCCAATTTTGATGGGGATTTTAGAGTGGCACATCCGATTAGCAAATTTTGACTTCCGTCTTTTCGGCCTAAGAAACTCCCAGTAGGCCGCGATCGAGAATTTGTCGTTGACAGATTTAGTGAAAATTAAAGTATCGTCCAGGGATTCATCCAAATTGATCATGTCAAAGAGATTTTGTTGATCCGAATTCAAGAAGAGCCGATACTCTTGAGCGTCTCTTTTGGCGACCTTGAAAGACATTGAGCGATTCTCATCAATAATCTCGGATTGGTACCACCTATCTCTCCAAAAATCAATATTTCCTTGACTGACAAGTCAATTCCTATTGTGCTCCAAGGTTTCGAAATGAGTGTGAATTTCTCGCCATAATGGAGAAGCATGGTAGGGTAAGACTGTGATCCGCCACATACTTAGCCCTCGAGAACCGAGCCCATAAAGATCTTCCCTCCATAACTTTCTATGCTAATTTACCCGTTAAAAGCATTTACGTATCTCCGAGGGATCTAAATCCGAGCCCACCTTCCACCTTAGGGCGACGTAGAACATCCCAACTGATCTAGTTAATGCCCTTACGATCTTGTTTACCCCAGAGGAACTTGCAGAACAGCCTTTCCATGCGATCAAGAACCTGCTTTGGGACCAAATCCGATGACAAGGTGTGATTGGGAAGGCTATACAAAACCAATTTAACGAAAATAATGTGCCCGCCAAAATTAAGGAATTCGGACTGCCATCCCTCGAGGCGATTTTGCACTTGTTGGACCAAATAGTCAAAGTGCTTAACCAGGCAGGGACCTTTATAAATAGGAACTCCGAGGTATTTAGGAGGCATATTTTTATGCGAGCAACCTGACCATTCCTTGATCTTTTGGAATTTTCTCGCATCCAATCCCTTGGACGTGTAAAAACTATTTTTTTCCAAACTAATAAGATGTCCTGAAGAAGCTTCGTATTTATGGAGCATGTTTCGTAAGGCCTGCACCAACCTTTTACTTTCGTTGGTGAACAACAGCATGTCATCTGCGTAGAAAAGATGGGATATAGAGAGTGAGCCGTGTCGGACTTTGTACATTTTCATGAGTTCCTGCTCTTCTAGATGTTTGATGTTTAAGGTGAGAATTTCTTGGGTGATGATGAAAATAAGAGGTGATAAAGGGTCGCCTTGCCTTACTCCTCTGGAAGATTTAAAGTGCCCGTGCGTCGCTCCATTAATTGAATGTGTACCAAATGTTGGAGAAAGATCTGTACATAAGGTCGCACACTTGGTGGGAAAATCCCAAGGCCTGCATAGCGAGAAGAAGGAAGGGCCACTCCAAACGGTCATAGGCTTTCGACATGTCGAATTTAAAAATAATATTCCCTCCTTCGACTTTTCGGTCAATACCAGTGACCAATTCTTGACCAGTTGCGATGGACTCATGAAAGCTGCGATTCTTTAGGAAGCATGTTTGCTTCCTCAGAAATTATTGTGGGTAAATATTTGTTCAACCGGGAAGCTAATATACGAGAGATGACTTTACTAACGAAATTCCCCAGACTTATGGGGCGATAGTTATTGAATGATTCCGGGTTCGTGATTTTTGGTAATAAAACCAAGATAGTAGTAGATATGCCCTTGGATAAATAGTCACCTAAAAAGAACTCGTGTACTAGCTGCATGAGGTTCTTTTTTATAGTAGTCCAACATTTGACATAAAAGGAACCCGTAAAGCCATCTTGCCTGGGGCACTATCTGGAGCTAAGTCCTTCACTGCTTGGAAGAGCTCTTCTTCGTCAGGGATAATGCCAATCTTCGATATCATCTCGATCGTGAGCTTGGGTTGAACGTGAGTGAAAAGAGAGGCATCCAAATGATACGTCAAGGCCATGAAGAGAGATGAAAAGTACTCAACCGTTTTTTCTCCAAATATCTTTCCGTCCGATGTAAATGACCCATCCTCAAGCTTGAGAGTGATGGTATTTTTTTTCTACGCTCTTTGATTCGGGCATGGAGATATTTGGTATTTCGGTCTTCATCCTCTGCCAAATTAATTCTAGCTTTGCTCGCCAGTAGATCCTTTCCCCATTGAAGTTGTTGAGCCAACTCCACTTTAATTTTCTCGCATTCGATAAAGATTTCCCCGTCCCAGATCTCCGTAAGTTGCCTTTCCATCCCTTCAATTCGAAACTGAAAGGCAGGAATGTTTTCATCATGTTTTCCAAACGTGGTCTAGTTCCACTTTTTGAGGGATTTACGGAGATGGGCAAATTTCACCTCAAAATTCGACCTCACCCCTTGAGTCTCCACTGGCCAATTGTTTGCAAGTAAGGACTCGAAATCGTTGTGTTCACACCACATTTCTTGGAAGTAAAACCGGCTCTGACGAGGCTGAGATTGCTCAAAATGAATGTTGAGCGGGCAGTGATCCGACTCTACTCTTGGTAAATGAATCACTTTCAGCGGACAAACTGAGAGAGCTTCTACATTGATTAAAATTCTGTCGAGACGTTGCCATATGCTACTGCTCCCTTGTTGATTATTTATTTCCTTCAAAGTCGGCATCCGTGAGTCTGGCCTCGATACGAAAACTCGTTAAATTCTTGCATGCCACGTAAGTGCGTATAGGTTCCTCCCTTTTTTTCGTCTAGGTTCTTGATCACATTGAAATCACCCCCTACGATCCATGGCTTGTTGAAATTGTTGCTTAGCTGAGCCAATGTTCCCATAAAGGAATTCTCTCTTGCCTAGTACATTTCTGGAGATTCACCTCGGCTTTCCAGAACACCCAGACATAAGGGTTGATGGGGTTGCCATGTGTGTAATGCGTAAGACCTAACTTTCTGGCGATTTTATCCAACATGTTCTCATTCTCCTTTGGTTCTAAAAGAACTACGATAAGAGGTATGTGCTGATTTTTTAACGACTGCAAGTAAATTAGGGATTTCGGGTTCCCTGCACCTCGAATATTCCAGATTAAGACTGACATCAGGAAACAAATGGATTTCGAGCCTCTTCATCCTTTCTTGGTCTTCCCCGTTTTCTCTTGGTTTTGGGCAGGGTTCGGCTTTTAGTCTTCCTAGCCATAATCTCTTTTGGAGATTCCTCCGTATCCCTTTTATTTTGAACTTCTATTACCTCTTGCTCCTCGTCTGATTGTTCGGAGGTGTCCGTATCATTCTTAGCCTGGTGTTCTCCCTCCGATAATGACCTTTTACCATGGTATTGAGGGTCCATACGAGCGAGGAGATCCACATTGGAGATCTCCTTGCCTTTATTTATTTTTCCACGATCTTGTCTATCTGCAGGTCGTGTATGTTAGGCGAAGTTGAAGACCTTTTGGCAGGTACTATTACCTGCATATTAGGCTTTTCGATCTTCTTAGGGGTGTTCTCAATCACCTGCTCCATTTCTTCTTCCTCCACAGCCTCAAAACGATTATTAGTGGAGGTTTTGGCAGTCATATTGTGTGTGTTGGTGGCAGCCGACGGGAGTTTTTGCTTGTCATATGGCGTTAGTCTAGGTTAGGAGCAGCTGTTGGAATGCGTTGGGGCGGAGGTCGGGCATTCTTTTTCCGACAGATGTCGCTTGTGTGACTGAGCAACCCGCAGTGAGATCAAAAGTTGATGTTGCCTTCACAGTCTAGCTTCTACCAAAACCCTTTTTCTTTTGATTCTCCTATCCAAAGTCGAAATGGCAAAGGCTGGGGTACATCAACTTCGACACATATTTGAGCAAATGTGAGGTTTTGATAATTAATGGTTTTAGAATCTGCACGGAGGAAGTTACCTAGTTGATTACCCATTCGCTCCAGATAGGGCAGATTAAAGTAGAAGAAGGGAAGCTTATGAAGACGAATCCACACCGCAACCCGTACAGTCTTTATCGAATTGGAGATCCTTGGACCATCTGAAGATCCGAAACATTGATGTTCCTATCGCGTTTGAGTCTCTCGCCAGTGCCATAATCATATCATCGTAGTCTCCTGGAATTACTAGAATATGCCGCGGATCAATTAAACCAATAACCGGTTCATTAGAGAGTTGCCATGTTTGTGAAATCTTGAGTCGGATATCATGAAAACTAGGGCGTCCTCTAGAAAAATTCATGATTAGAGCATGCTCGAATTGCTTCGAGGTGAGATCCATCTCTTTAGTCGAGAATAAACAAGCTGGCTCATCTTCTATCAACGTGTAAGGTTGCGGTGGAAGGGAAACTTTGACGGGTTCAAACCACGAAGGAGGAGGCTTCTGGACAGTAGGAGCAGTAACCTGGGCAAACGTACGTACGGTGCATGACCGGTGAAGGAGCGAGATTGTGAGTCTGGGATGGGCCGAAGGTGTGAGTGACTGTCGGTGAAGAGGCGCCCGCCGTTGAGTTCATCACGGCGGCGCTGTAACACGGCAAAGTTAATATTTTAGGGTTTTTGAATGAAAGAGATTAGGGGAGAGAGGAGAGAGCATTGTAGTATTACAAAAAACAGTCTTTCAAATAAGTATTATTAATTTTAATTAACTCTTTTTTTATTATTAATTTAGATTTAGAGCTTAATGTATAAGTTGGTTTTAATTTTTATAAATTGTTGAAGTGTTGGAAAATATAATATATATTTTTTACTGCAACAGTGATAAAAATTGACATGACATCTTTATAATTATTAAAAACATTTTCTCTTGATATTTTTTCAATAATGTTTCTTATAAATATCACAAATTACTTTAGCTTCAAATAAATATAGGGGTGCAAATCGGACGGATCGGGTCGAAATTAGCCCTTCATGAAAAAAATGATTTTTTTGCGAAAGTGAAAATCTAGTTCCAATATTGTTCAAAATAAAATCGGAAGGAAACGGAATCAGGATTTCGGACATTGGAATGAAAACACTTGTTCCGAAATCGGAAAATTTTCGGAAAATTTTAATTTTTTGTCATCTAAAATATAAAGTACACAAAATATTGGTATTTTAAGCGTAACAATCAGAAGATAAAAAATCGGAATTTGCGGATTATTTTTGGAGCATAAAATTGGATCATAAATCGAAATCTCATATATATTCCAACTCCAATCCAAATAATTTCGTAAAAACTGCAACTGGGAATTTCGGGATTCAAATTGAAAAATATTGTTTCAAAATCGGAAAATTTCAGGTCAAAATCGACGAATATCGAAAATTCCGTTCCATATTCCACACCTAAATATAGTTAAAACCACATAGTACAATACGTCGACAAAACTAACTTAACTTTATAAAAGAATAATACAAATAGAGTTCGAGCATGTTTCACACCACAAACATTGCACAAAGTTTGCACAACAAACAAACCATTATGATTAGTAAGTTAATTAATTATAAAATATGTAAAATACGTATATAATAAAAATAAATAAGCAAATTTAAATACTCAACTATTGCACCAGACTAATTTAATTTGCTATATTTTTTATTATTTGCCTGACCAAAATATTTAGAATACATTTAAATAATTACGAAGTTCATTAAAATAAAGATTCCAACAATATTGAATTTCATGAATTATCAATATATAAATATAGTTATATATTGGATATATATTAAAAGAGAAAAACTCACTTGAAGGCCATTCGGACCTTTCCTCCAAAGTGGAGTATTCCTGTTTCCACATGCCATGTAGACTTTTGCATCATTTGCATTCAGTCCTCTACGTGCAATAGGTGCACGGTTCACCTTATAATTATATTCAATTTAATAAAATTAATCAAAATAATAAATTAATAATAAATTAATGTAAAATAATTAAACAAAACTAATGTAAGTTTTTTAACACATGTTGACATCTATGAATATACAGTAGAATCTCGATAAATTAATAATAAATTAATTAATAATTTCGCTTAAATAATAATTTTTTTTCGATCCCGACTCAGTGACAACATGATAAATTATAACTCGATAATTTAATGCGAAGTGTATCAATATATAGAGGTTTAAGTTTAATTGTTTGTTAAAGTTACTGAATTGTAAGTGCATTATTGTTAGTGCGTTTGTGAATGTTGTGTGCACTCAATGTATACTTTTTCCCTTTTATTGAAATTTATAATTTATTTTTTCATGAGTGTGTGTCTATATATATATATATATATATATATATATATATATATATATATATATATATATATATATATATATATATATATAATGAATATATTTGTTATAGGAACAAAAATATGATAATATATATTGAGTAAATTAAATAAATACCTGATCATTTGGTGCATAAGCATCCACTAGTGCATGAGCATTCACTGGAGCATTTCCTTGATTTGGCGATCTCAATGTTAGGGTAAGATCAAGATTGATATCTTGGTTG